AGCTACACTAATGGGATAATCTAGTAAGTAATATTTATTTATTAAACACAACAATATACTATAAAAAAAAAATATTTAAAACTTTAGATATGTAACTACTATGTTAATACAAAAAGTCACAAAATATTTTAATAAAAAGAATCGTTACATTAACCCAATAAATGGTGTGAGAAAATTAATTAGTGATTTTTATCTTTTACATTGATTCATTAGTGAATTATTGTGTTTTCTTTTATTCACAATTTGTGGTGGACTAAGATTTTCGGAAGAAAATCTTGGTTAGAAGATGATTAAAAACTTTAGCATTTTAACAACATCAATATTCTTAAAATCACTAACTAATTTTCTCAAACTATTTTTTTGGTTAATTTAACGATTCTTTTTATTAAAAAATTTTGACTTTATTTTTGTGAATTTTTGTTTTAAATTAGTAGTTACCTATCCAAAGTTTTATATGTTTTTTTATAGTATATTGTTGTGTTTAATAAATAAATATATATTTTTGAAACCGTTAAAAGTTCACAATATAACACATTTAATTGAAAATTATAGTTTTTGCTGGATATCAAAAAAAGAAAAAAGAAAATAGTTAAAATATTATCATCTCATTGGCTTATTATATTGAAATTGGTCATCATTATGTTACACTTTAATATTTGGAATTAATTTACATTAAACTTATCCATTAAATTGTAAAAATTAATTGTTAAAGAACACTTAATTTGTTTTCAATAAAAAAAAAAATTAAAAGACAAATGTTAAAAGAGTAGATGACACATGACATCCTCTCAGGACTTGGGTTTGGAAAAACTACCAAAAATTATAGTTCCAAATTAAATGTGTTATTGTGAACTTTTAACGGTTTAAAAAAATATATTTATTTATTAAACACAACAATATAAAAAAACATTTAAATCTTTAGATATGTAACTACTATGTTAAAACGAAAAAGTCACAAAAGGTTTAATAAAAAGAATCATTACATTAACCCAAAAAATGGTGTGAAAAAATTAATTAGTGATTTTTATCTTTCACATCGATTCATTGGTGAATTATTATGTTTTTTTATTCACAATTTGTGGTGCAATAAGGTTTTCTTCCGAGAGTCTTGGCTAGGAGATGATTGACAACTTTAGCATTCTAGGAACATTAAAATTCTTAAAATCACTAACTAATTTTCTCAAACTTTTTTTTTTAATGTAACGATTCTTTTTATTATAATTTTGTCACTTTATTTTTGGGGTGACCTTTTGTTTTAAAATTT